ATTTCGAGATTGCCATGCACGCACATGTACGTGGGAAAAAACTATTGCATCAGTCACAGTACACAACTTGGTGGGAATATTGGCATCATTTACTGATTGTATGTGTACTCGTGTTACAGGTATCAGTGAAACATGATATAAACAACGTCTTAGCTTATTCCCTTATTCCGAATGTACATTCGTATTGTTACATGTCGCGTGGAAGACTGGATCACGGCCAGCGCAACATTTCGCGTAATGTACGTTCTTCTTCTATATCTGCAATTTACTATCATTGGTATTAGTGGTGAAAGGGTCTGTGTGTATGTCAGTGTGCGTCTGGTTCTAGAGATATCAGTGCAAAAGGCACACACAAATAATAAAACTAGGATAATGCTCATATTTGATTGGGTTTTGGATGAAATCAGTGCATAATAATTACCTAATTTGCATGATAAAATATAATTAACTTTTCTGCTAATATCAGATTCAATGAAACTTGGTACATAGATGCTTAGGTATAAGCCATATACATGTTCAGTTTAGGGTAACATTTTGTAATTACTAATTCACTAATTTGCATAAATTAACCAATTTATAGGTGCTCCACAGATAACACGCATACCGCTCATCAAATTTTGATGAAACTAGATACATAGCTGTTTTTGGATAATCAACATATCTGATTAATTCAGGGTTGAAATCCATGCATATTGATTCATGTCTCCTACTTAATATGCATACCTGTAACGTATTAAGCACTGTTGCAAATAATGACATGCAACCAGTACTACAATACAGACATTTTACAATGTTATGTATCAGATGACAATAGATGGTTGCGTGACCTCATTAATATACATAACTATAATTAAGTACTGTTGCACATAGGGACATGCGACTAGTGCTATAATTTTGTTGTCTGGTGAAATATATGATATATATATATATTCTAATATAGTAAATACAGTATTTGTAATTCATGCCTCCAATACCTTCAGCACATGGGAGTTCTAAAAAAAATGATTCATCTAAGTAATAATTTTTTAGTTGACAATAAACCATAATTCGAATCGATTTACAGTATGGTGTATTGAACAACGATACTCAAAAACATAAGTTTGTGTCCGTATAGCTTCTTTAAATTTTCGATCCAATGAATCATAGTGTATCATATTTTGTACAACACCAGTCAGGTGTGAGAATATATGCCCATTGAACCAACATGTTTATTGTTTGAGATCTTTGTGCCACGAATGTCATTCTGGCATTAGTATAAACATGTAATGTCTGAATTCCACCATTTCATAATCCCTGCAGTATAATATTAATGGTGACGATTATTCCATTTATGTATGTCAGTAATCATACGCACCAGGGAATATTATTCATAGATAAATAAACAAACAAATTAATTAACTGATTAATTAATTAATACTTCATTAGTAATCACTTCTTTCCATCATCGATCAACATTTTCCCTGTCTCATTTGCAAATTTAGATCGACCAATGGGTGAATGATACAGCTGCTCGATACCCAACACTAGCGAAAGAGTTCGTTATTGGTAGCTCGTACGAAAACCGTGTAATGAGAGCATTGAAGGTAGGTCATTTAACTCGAGCAAAACATATTTTAGTTGTATAAAAACAACACACTGTGTTTTAGAACGTCATGTGATCTAATATTTCGTTTTTTTTCTAAATGCGTTATACAAATTATATCGAGTATGCCAAAAATGGCGTATTTGAAGAAAAACAAACTAAAGAAAACTAAAACGAAAAAAGGATGAAAGACGCCTCTTGGTGGCGCACAACTTTATAACGCATGTCCAAAACGCAAATATAGATTGCGTGTATTGTTGGCTCAACGGACCATAGGACCATAGGTCCGCTGAGCCTATGGGATGGGTTTCTGTCCTGCGTCTGTCGTCCGTCTATCTGTCTGTCTCTGTGTGTGTGTGTGTGTACGACTTCTTCTCAAAAACCGCCGAACTGCTTGACTCGAATTTTGGTGTGTGGATGCCTTGATGAGTGTAGATGGTAATTTGTTCATGAGAAGTCGATCTGCCAAAAATTATGCAAATTAGCCCCAAAAACTCTAAAATTTCATCTATACTACTATGACACTAAGTGGTCTACAGTGCTGATATTAATAGTGCATGTGCCATGGGTTGTCCTCTATCAGTTTTGTTAATTTGGTAAGGAAATTTTCAATTTCCTAATTTTGGCGAATATTTTAAAATGGTCATTTTTGGTCAAAAATTCTATTTTCGACTTCTTCTTCAAAATCGGTAGCCTGAATGCTTTGATACTTGGTGTGTATGTGTTGACATCTACTAGATTTGTTCATCCCATGGCCATATCTTTAATTCTCTAATTTTGGCAAATATTTTTGTAATTTTTGTTTAAAAATGGAATTTCAACTAAAAAATCAATTTCTTTGATTGGTCTATTGTGATTGTAATGAAAACATAACCACTCAACATATTTAAATGTGTATAGACATGATTGATTTTGGTTGAAAATTATGCAAATTACCTAATTTACATACCAATATATAGGCTATTTTGGTTATATCTTGAGAATCATTTAATATGTTTTAATAAAACTTGGTGCATAGATGTGTTGGGTCAGTTTCCAGATATATTTAGTTTTTGGTGGAAATTTATCTAATTTGCATATCAGCTAGTGAAATTCAAGCTATTTGGGTGCTATTTCAAGAACCATTCAACATATTTCAACAAAACTTGGTATATACATTTATTACGAATAATTGCAAATATCATGTTATGTTATTCTCTCAACACGCTGGAGTTCATTTTAAGCTCTCTTTGATTCTAATTTTATTGAATATTTATGTTATTTTTGTAAAAAATTCCACTTTTAGCATTATGTTTTATTGTCTCACTCACTGCCTTTTGGGGTATTTGTCATATACAGCACTAATCCTGTGTACAATAGCCGTTGAGCAACAGGCCATTGGCCTATTTTTTTTATATTGAAAGGGTTTAAAACAAACTATTTAAACAACTAATAGAAGTATTGTTGAAAAACAACGCATCTCCGGATAATTTTTTTTCTAAAAACTTAGGACCATAAATGGTCTGTTTCTTTGGCGCAACAATAAACAAGCGTTAATATTCCCGAGATCAATCGTTGTGTGTCTGACACTAGACCCAGTTCAGTCTCACGTGATTTGTGATAATGTACTACTATTGTTTACTTAGGTTGGAAGCGAATCGAGTGAAGTGAAGCCAGCAATGTGGGTCCATAGTGGTATTCATGCCAGAGAGTGGGTAACGCCAGCTACTAATACATGGATGACAAATCAGGTTAATAACAAGAAACATCCTCACATTATTTACGTAATATACAATGCATGTATTTACACTCGACTATTTATATTACAGAGACTAGTGTAAACTAACGTAACATATAGGTTGGTCCACAGTCCTATGTTGGGGGACTGTGGTTGGTCATACAAATCTTGATATTACACTTCGTTTATTTTAGTTCCAAGACCAATAATACATATGCATGATAACGACACGTAATATTATGTTATATATCCACCAGCTCCTTGTCGATTATTCAACAAACGATCTTGTGAGAACGCTACTGGACACATTCGATTTTTACATTCTACCAATTACCAATCCTGATGGATATGAATACACGTGGACAGATGTGAGTACGCCACCACGATGATAGACTTTCGTTTTTATTTTATTTTTATATATTATAAATTGAATTGAAACCCATTTTCTTTTTGAAATAATTGTATGTATTTTCGCTTCAATGATATAAATTTGTTTTTTAGGATCGAATGTGGCGCAAGACTCGGTCTGTGAATGACGATTCGACGTGCATCGGCGTAGACCCTAATCGTAACTGGGCCTATGAATGGGGAGGTAGGTAGACATTTTCAAGTGAAACCATTTTCCACTAACTATGACACAACTTTAGACGTAATACACCAGAGGACGTTGTTTTATATTAACTTGTCTCTCAAAGTGACTGAAAATACAATGAAATGTTGCAAATATATGTATACAGTGTCCTGTCTGTGATGGGGGCGCACTACATTCCATGCATGCATTGCACGCCATTCTCTTGGTTCCCATATACATTGACACACTGACCGATGTGATAGGTCATTGAGTTGAGTCACTGTGCAGTCCCCAACTGAACCATGTACAGTGTCGTGTCAGTCAATTAAGACGCCTTAACTCTTTGAGTAAAACACTCATCTAAGGCGCCCAAGTGTTCTTAACAATGGCGACCATTCATTAAGATAGAGATGCAGTTTACCTGACAGGTATTTTAAGTAGTTAATTAGGAAACCAATATGACCTCCTTTGTCCACAAAACTATATATTTTCGGAAAGCCTATTGTATGAATTTTAAAATTTCGTTAGTATTTTTTTTATGGACACTGTAGTTTGAAATATGCACAGAAATGTGCTTTTTGGGTCAAAAGTGATTTACAAAAAATTTGCTTCTAAAACATGCTTCTGTTTCCTGTCAAAATTGGTTTATGGGTACATCTGTTTATTATGAAGAAAGTGCCGTTTTAGACAGTTTTCAATTTTGCAGGGCAGCGGCTCTAATTTCACTACTTCAAGTTTATGCATAAATTAACATCCAGGCTAGTTGTCTGTACGATTGTTGTAACACTGTTCAACCAAAAACAATACCCCGACGGCGTTTTGAAGATAAACACATTGTCAATTATTTGCGAAAATTTCAAAACAAAAGGTCAAAGCGTCTAGGAGCTATTTTTTTAAAGTTCTGGGGTGTGCACTAAAAATAAGCTGAGATAATTGCTAATTTGCATAACAATTCACTCAGTAAGACGTTTGCTAATGCTCATAATTAAAATGGCTGTAACAGTTTCAAATTTAAATGTATTATCGTTTTGTTAAAAGTTAAATATAGTGCTTAATATGGAGATCCCGTCATTTCTTTTTTTCACAATGTTTCTTTTTTTATTATTTATGTACAGCCTTGCTAAATATTGCTAAGCATTCAAAAGAAAGAATGTTTGTTCCTGTTTTCTATATTTTAAAATCGTCTTTGAGTATGTTCCACTATTCACAATTCTACAAAATGTTAACAGTCCATAACAACTGTTTGGTTAATAAAAAGCAAAAAAAAAAATTCACTCCCAAGTGCCCACGAACCTGCATATCTACCTTAAATTCTATTCGTTCTGTTAGCTAGTCCAAATCAACAACTATGTACATGGAGAAAGCATTGACCATCAGCGAAATGATCCTAGTTTTGTCAGTTGTGTATTGTTCATTCACAGGCAGTGGGGCCAGCAAGTTTCCTTGTTTCGATACATACCGTGGTCCTTACCCACACTCTGAAGTCGAAGTCAGAAACGTGGCAGATTTCATTTTAGAGAGAGCAAAAACACAAGAGTTTGTCTTCTTCATGGATATTCACTCGTATTCGCAGATGTGGTTGAATCCCTGGGGCTACACGGAAGAATATCCTGAGGACTACGAGGATCATGTAAGCAATTCGACGCATGCGTACGGGGCGCGGGATGTCAATTGATTATTTTGTGTATACTAGAATAAAACGGACTAATAATTCAAAATTACGTACGTATTGGAGGCCGTGGCGTGTGTGTTTTAAAATGATGTGTGCATTTTAAAAACGGCGTGACTGTGCGTTTTAATGGTGTGTGTTTCAAATTGACTGTTGTGTGTATGTGTTCATTAAATGTATGTGCATTAAAAGATTATGTATGTATTTTAAATTATGTGTATATTAAAATGGCGTGTGTATTTTAAAAATTATATGTATATTAAAATGACGTGTGTGTTTTAAAAATTATGTGTATATTAAAATGATATGTGTATTTTTAAAATGACGTGTGTTTAAAAACGACGTGTGTGTTTAAAAACGACGTGTGTATTTTAAAATAATGTGTGTTTAAAACTGACGTGTTTGTTTTTAAAAATGACGTGTGTGTGGTCGAATGAAAATTTGTGTGTGTAAAAAGCAAAAAACGCGTGCATTAACCTTTTTACGCCTGTAGGAGGCAATATTTTTGAATGATTATTTTTTCGTGTGTGTGCAGAAAAAACGTGTGCATTAACTTTGTTACGCTTGTGGAGGGCGCTATTTTTGAATGATTTTTTTGCTATAATTTAAAGCCAAAATTGTCTACATATAATAAAAGGTCATCTCGGTCTTATAACATCAAATACTCTGGAATAATGGAAGTTGATTTACAAATCAATACTTTGGGTAGCTGTTTCAGTTCGCTTCATCAATTTGAGCAGAAATAAATACAAAATCGACATTCCTCAGTTCATACCTAAAACACGTTTCACATCTCAATTACATTCCAAGTCCGTTTCATTGTATTAATAAAAACTTAGCCATCATTAACAAAGAATAATAATATGTTTGTTTGTAGATGAAAGTTGGCGAGATATTCACTGAAGCAGTGGCGTCAGTCCATGGACAACAATATACGTACGGTACCATCCCAGATTTACTCTGTAAGTGTTGTAATTTGTCTTTCGGCACTGAAACTATACGATAAATATGTTGGTAATATGTCACCATCAACTGACCCGACTGCTCAAATCAAATGGGGATTTCCTGAAACAGAATGTGTATTTATTTATACTAACCATATGTCATACGTTGTGAATTGATGTGAGTGTTAAAATATTGTCACTGCAACTCAATATAATGGATAGTTTTATGGGAGGGACATGGACCACGATTTTCATATCTAGACACTGAACATCTTTTTAAATGAAGTAACTTTTTCATATCATGTAATATTATGTCAAGGAATAATATAAATCAACCAACAATCCAGGAACATGTATCAGTTAATTGCGTTATAACCTAGCTATATATAGGTAAGATATTGCCCCATTCATCAATTCAACATATTTCAATATAATAAAACACTCAAGAATGCCATAACTTACTTAAAGGGCGGCAGTCGTCGCGCCGTGTTCTGTTCGATATGGGACTCATAGCGACGTATACAAGGCGTGTAAAATACATTGTTTATTTACATGATATTCGAACACGCGCTGCGCGATGACCACCGCGCTCAATTTTCCGAATACTTTATTCCGATATCTCAGTATTAATACCTGTATCTAGTTAATTGCAATTTTCACAGATGTATCGTCAGGTTGCAGCGTTGACTGGGGGCATGGCATTATGGGTATCAAATATTCCCATACCACAGAACTCAGGGACACTGGGGAATATTCATTTCTACTTCCGGAAGACCAGATTATTCCGACAGCGCAGGAGACATACGCAGGCTTTGTCGCGGTTTACGAACATATTATGAACAAACGCGTATCTTCGTAAAGCATCAGAATATATGTAGCACCGTATTCGTATTTCAAGTAATTTACGTGAATTTTTGAAATTCAATAAAAAATTGTTTCAATAATAAACTGCTTATTTTAATCGACATAACTATGGCCGTTAATGGGGTGTATACGAATGACGTCATATCTCATTACGCTCTCTCACTTTACACTGGCCATTCTAAATTATTCACTCGTATTACTAGTAAGACTGACTCGTTGGTGTCAGCGATGGGAGCTGAAATTAGTATGAACAAATGTAATTACCTTGAATAATAAGAAATCCCCAATTGTTAATCAATCGTATTTCCAGTGATAGAGCCAAGTCTGTAAAATACCTGGGTGTCAAAATTATTATTGCTACTAAGGCTTTTTAAAGTGATATGTCTCTTTTAGCGTACATGCTCTCTTTTTGATGATATTTGAGTTTTGAAGTCACTTTTCTTTACGGTGACTAGTAACCTGGAGTACTGTTCTCATGTCTAGACACCATCACAGAAAGCCAAACTTGAATGGATACACATTAACTGTATCATATCTACGGTGGAAAGTTCAAATACTCTTCCATTCTTAGTACATCGATTTATTCAAACACGTTTGCATTCCTACACTTAAAACTCCTAATCATGTTCAAGATATAATAGGTATTTTCTGGGAAAGATTCATTCAAGTTTCATTCATGTACTTCCTGTCATAATATCAGAAAATTCTTTTTTTACTACGTGTGTGTAGGTTTTTTAATAGTACCCTCTTTACTTTAAAAAAATGTTCATCTTATATTACTAGTATATTTTAGATTATGTAATGCATTAGTATTATTTTTTGAAGCAATTTTGTTCTGTAATGTATGAAATTGTGTCTAGAAGTTGTGGAATTATCTCTCGATAAGCATTATCTTACTTTTATTCTGTCAAACCATGACAACACTCTCAAATTGCCGATATAGTCACATAAATATACAAAGCATGACTTCTATGCTTATTTATAGTGTCAATAATTCTTGAGTACCGGTTTCTTCTATGTCTATCTTTGCTAACAATTTGACTAAGTTAGTGGGTGTAAGGATACTGCACAGTTCAAAGTTGTTTTTCTTCCACCACTGTCTTTGGGGGGCGACAGAGATGTGGAATTTACACATTAATACATTTTGCGATAGAAAAAAAGAGTTGCACTAATTTCCAACATAATAAACATCTGTATATACATTATAGCAATGGTCGACAAAATATATGTTGATGACAGTGCCATCTGACATCGTAATTTTACGAACTTTGAATTGTATTCACGACTATGTAGTATGTGGCTTCTCTAGCTTATTGGTCTTAGGTGCTTCCCAAGCTTAGAAGGCGTAGGTTGTTACGATGTAAATTCCACACAATTTACGTAGTTGGAAGCAAATTATAACGTAGTGAAATCACGACTTTGCTTGTTTGGAAAAATTCCCAATTTTCGTTTACTTATTTCTTCATTTGTATTTACTGATATCGTGTAGTGTTTTGTTCATACATGGGCTACACAAAACAAGTAGCGTTAATAATATCATCATTTATTGACGTGATGATCGAGGCTGGGTTAATTTTTATTATCACATTAAGTTCAAAAATCAAAGGAATTACTACCACAGACAAATGATCGGTGCGTTTCTATTATTGGACCAATAACGCGCGCGCCAAAACGACTGGATGGCGTCCGCAAATAATAAACATCAAACAAATAAACCTTTGAAAATTGAAAGTCATTTCTCCATAAACATATTGGTCGGCGAATAAAATACACATTACCCACACTACATTCATCCAAACTACTAACATAGAAATCGTAATCATGGGCGTGTCGATGTATGCTACTACGGTGTGTGTTCATTAGGCCGTCAACGCATGCCAACCAATACGACTGGATGGCGTCCGCAAATTTGCAACAAATAAACATTCGATAATTGAATTATCTTCGCCCACGACATATTCCTCTGTGAATAAAATAAACGATTTAGTGAAAAGTGCCTGTAATATCCTTTATGTTTATCATTAAAACACAACGGCAAATTGTCTGAGGTAGTATTCGCCAATTGCGGGATAATCAACCAAGACTAGATGAGAACTGATTGTTCTGTTTGATGACGCCTGACGTATTCATATCTCGATCGAGTTTGTATCATTAATATAATTATTAATTTACTGGTCAATTGTATTCAACCCAGGGAGTTCCGTTTGTCATAAACCCAAATAACACATCATATTAGCGATAATTTATTGAACGTTCTGACTTTCTGTTTGCTTTTTGAAATGAGCCCATGATTTTGAGCCAATTGCAGTACTTGTATGTGAGGTTCTACACGGTCCCAGGACATCAAGAATACAGTTAAATGTTACTACAGTATCAAAATCAAATTTCACTGCAGTTAAAAACACGGTAAAACCAATGTATTTAAAATCCATCACCAGTCCAAGGCAATTTACTAAAAATCATGATACCATTGTTGTCAATTGAAAGTGTGGGAATAAATACTATAAATATGCGCATAGCAAGTTTGTTACTGGCAGTAATCGTCTCAATTTCCAGAAAAAAAATAAGTTGCAAAAAGGGGAGAATACCCCTAAAAAAATAAGTCAGCAACTCAATATTTGACATTTGACACTCTTTCCCAATTTTAGGATGAAATGTTGAATGATGTTGCTGAATAATACAACTGAAACTATCCCTTTGAAAGCATCAGTATTACCATTGAACTGTAATTTCACGGTATTACTATCTATGTTTTCTAATATAAGTATTATTGTCAAGAAAACACCGCCTAATTGAAAGTATTGCATTTTAGTACATATACTGTACTTTACATACACTGATGTTAACAGCACTGGCAAGTTGGTCTACCAACTTTTGATCAAGGCCACAGGCTTTTAAGAGTTGATATTCCATTTGTCTAACACATTATTCGTAGGAATTTAACACTACACACTACTGAGGCAAACAAATAACTTGCTCCGCGGATTTTAAATGACTTGTATATTTTACCGTTTGGGGTGATATTCTGCTAAAATCTGTTAAATGTTTTCAGATATTGTATAGCAAAAACATAATAATTATGTAATTTAGAAAGCAATAGAAACTGTTTTTGAAAAGTTTTTTGGTAAAAAAATTATTAAATATTTTTTAATTGTGCTTGATATTTTTTTTTAATAACTTCTGCTCATTATCGCTATAGTGCTTAGATGGCCTAAATATTTGTTTTAATAAAGCAGTATTTTTAATTAATCCATCGAAAAAATACCAAAACCTCGTGTTGTATGATAGCTAGGTAGGTAGTTACGCTAGGTAAATTATGCCAAAGACTGTCAGGAAACCTAGTTTCCTAGGGAAAACATTTTTTCTCACCGTCGGGCGGAGCTATTAAACCCCCCCAAAAATTCCACACTACAAAAACGAGAACACCTTTTACTCTAAACATGTCTTCGGGATTTTAAATCAAATCGCCAACTTTCAGAATAAAATGAAGTGCAATTAAATAAAAGCTGTGGTACTAATTTAATGGGTATGTACAGAAATCCCCATTTTCCCTTTATTACTCAAGCTACAGAATTTGGGCAACTCATCAAATACGTATCTATATAGAGTGATTTTTTGATTGAGGAAATTAGAGAAACTCACCTGTTCATTTTTGAGTTAGTATGTACTCTCTATCTAGGCTTACGTACATTCTTTCCTCCTACGCTATAGTTTATAACACGATTTACTACCATTGGTATCTATTTATACCATTTCCTGTCCAAGTGGAAATGACTGATGAAATACATAATATTACCATCAAAGTAGGAATATCCAAAATCAACTGCATTGTAACGCAAGAAGACAGTATATAAGGCGTTGCTGCGATGGAGTGGCAACTTATTTCTACTCAACTCTCGACCAACTTCAAGAAGAAGCTACACCATTTGCAAAGGTAAGTACACTATAATGCTTTATTTTTAATTTGTGTTATGTTTTTTTATTTCCGAATAATCATTAAATAAAATTGAATTTATTATTACAATATTGAAACATGCATCCTAAACTTAAATAAAAAATATATAACTTGAAATTGTTTTAATGAGCTTAACTGTTACTTGATCGATGTTACAAACCGTTTGGTTTCTCATGACACTTTCCGACTATTACGCATGCCTCTTATAGTATCAGGTACTCACTGTAGATTATTTAATAATGCAATAGCTTCTATAAGTAGTGTTTGTAACTCGGGAGACAAATAGATCGTAATCACTAATATTTTAAACAGCGAATACAGGAAACTCTTTTTATTTCATAAACCAATTTGCCACACGTACACACCACTTTCAAACACTTTTTGTAAAATTACCACCAAACTGTTAACGCATCTACAAACTCAGTGCCCAATAATGATCAACGGAATCGTTTTCAATAGTCTCAGAATTTCTAGTAATTTGTTCTTTAAAAAAAGAATTATTAACCTTTGTGTACACTTTTGTGGATGGTGTACAAATAATCACTGACCACCGAGCAACGCCATGCATACACTTCAGTTGCTCGGCCGACCCCCTTATACGTGTATAAAATATTAACTTATACCAACACGCAGCACTGAATAGTAGAGTACTGTTTTATGAACTATTAACGAAGTTGTGATTTGTAGCCGATAACCGCTGAGACTTTAAATGATGTTATAATCAATAGGCAATAACAATAAACGTAAATGGTGAAGTGTTTGCTACTATGTAATCTTTTGATTTATGTGGGTTCTTAAAACTATATTGCGTATACTTTAAAATAAGCATGTCTATCAAAATCCTGCTTTCAGATGTATGTTACACTATTCCGAATATTGGCACTCGGTCCCATGATGTATTTCGTCTCTGTAACAGAAGCAACACCTTTAGTGCATAGCGCACTGAGACGACAGAGTATGTGCGGACAGAACGTTAATTTTTGTCAACAGGTGGTTGATGATAATGACTGGTCAGTTGAAGTACAGTCTCTTCGTAATAGATATGTACGTACGTTTATTCCATCGTTCAAATGTTCAATGTCGCATGAAGTTATGCCATATCATCTTTTCTTGATAACAAAAACAAAATCTCAAAATTCGAATGATTTATTTCAGGCATTTAGACATAACAAGACGCCACAAGGAACAAGTTCTGGGATTTTGAAATACAACGTTGATAGAGATTGCTACGAACGTATGAATGTGAGTATACTATTTTACTAATTCCTACATTTATTTATTCTGTAAACCGACAACATATATTTTATACTCTTAACAACTCCAGATGATATGTTTGTTATTAATAGTTCAAATTAGGTGATTGATTTGTGTTGTTTTATTTTGTTTAAAGAAAGTTAATCAAGTGTGGGTTCATCAGTGTGAACTGGTTGAGTTATTGCCGTGGGTAGCTAGGATAGCAATTGATGAGAATGGTAGGACCCAAAACATGAGACATGAAGTGTTGTCCCTTATAGCACCAATAAATAATACAGTCAATCTAATCCACAACTTTGTAAGTATGAAAACAAACTGTAACTATGTCACAATCGTTACTTCAATTCACTTGTAACATTCAACGTAATCGATCGATATCAAATGAATTGTTAACCTACACCACTGCGTGAAGAGAGTTAACTATATTCACCGCACACAGTCAATGTGATTCCGAACTTACAAAATATTGTCAATGGAATATTTGCGGATAAATGTGTATAACATTATTAAGAAAGGCGAGATCATTAAGTAAACAACTCTATGATGTTTATCTAGGTGACATCTATGGTATCATGCGGTGAGTATGAACCACACAATTCATGCCGACATTCTATTGAATTAGCTGATCCACAGTTTTGTGTATGGGTATGTACTTTTTTATTTAGATTTGCGTTATGCAATATACATAGAAGTAACAGAAATGTGCATGCAATGTGACTCAAACAGAAATCGGACCGATATGATATGTCTTCACGCATAATCGTAGGAACATCAGTGTTCATAACCAAAGAATGATAATGCATTAGTACGAGCTATAAAGAACAACTTAAACTCGTCCACGTTCATGCTAGTGTGCTTGTTAACAACCAAAGATTGAACTTAATCGGTTGTAAACTTTGTTACGTATGTTTTCTTTGTCAGAATAATACTATTGCTGATGAAAGAAACACCGATGTGTATTACTCTGTATTGGAAGATCTAAGCAAATCCGCGACAGTGATGCAAACCGTATTTCAAAGATTTCGGAAGGCAGATAGAACATGTTAGAGACCATGATAGAACATATTAAAGACCATGCTTACAACGAAATAACACATGATTTTTTGTCATGAAATCGAGTTTTAACAATTTTCATTATTCAAAATCCGTAGTATTCTGTATGCGGTAATGGAATTGCACAACTAAGTTGTAAAATGACATTATTATCAACAGATAGATTCTAATTAATATTCATTTCGCCATGCAGCAATAATAATATATATTATGCATATTTTAGATAATTTATATTAGATTATATTTCTGTATACAACTCATTGTCGGTATGATTGCATAACAGTAATCGATGTGTTAGACCAGTTATACCAAATGTAGTTATGAAATATTTGCGACAAATTCCAAATGTTTTGGGACTTATTTTCTGTTTTGGCCCTACTTCAACCTGTTTTCTCTAACAAAATAGCTTTAACTATTGAATTAGCGCACATGGCATGTTTTAATGGATATGGATGCTATTTTAAATATTGTAATTGCTCGCATTTAAACATTAATACATTTGAATAAAACAACACTGCACAGTAATACACATCCGCCTCGAGGACTTTTTCCATGACATCATGCTTAAACAATTCTTTTCATATGTAAATTGATTTGAACGTCGACCATTCAGGAAAAGTTCTTTCCTAAATGATGTCACTGTCATGAATTAGTTTTCGCGTATCTGTTGACTGACTTATTTAGTTGATTACGAGTGAATGGCTGTGTTATATCTGTCATCATTTAGGCTCATGCGAGGTCCTGGACGGAACTTGACTCAGTGATTTGGAACTAATTACGATATGACCGTCGCCATCCGGACCGCTATTTCTGACAGTTGGGTATTTGCAGTTGTCGCATACGACTTATTTATCACTTCCGTGTCACTGAGAATGTTCTAGAACCGTACTGTGTCTGGGTGGAATATTCTAGATTTTTTTTTTAGAAAATGGTTGAATAGGTAATAGAACACTGCAGGAGGCAATAGAAGGTAATGGAACATTCTAGAAATTGGTAGTAAGTTCCAGACTCATTATGTATGCTAGTGTAATGGTCTATTTATAGACAGTGGGGTATATAGAGGAGAGTTGTTCAGCACTGAGTTCAGATCGGAGATCTCGTTGAATTGTATTGGAGTGTAAGTATCTAGTTATTGGAGTAGTGGAGTTTTACCGCGTTATTGTACTTGATATTTGCAGAGTATAATAATACCAGTACCAGTTGAAACCTCATCTGTTGGCTCCGTGTTCGTATGTTATCATCGCCGCCAGGGAAGTCTTTCTGTTACTGTTGCCATGTCTGCTGCTTTGTAATTGGTTAAGATTTTGATACGTGATAAACATTTTAAGTCCTTGGAGACGGAGAGAGAGAGAGAGAACTCCACGAGGCGAGAGAGTCTTGGTCAGTGCTGGGCAGAAACCCGAGGAGGCAGTTTGCGCCGAGGCGTTCTCGATCTGGCTAAGGATTATCTATTGAAACGTATTTCGTTGTGTGCGTCCATTTGACTGTAAAGCTTAATTGACTTTCCCGGTCCGGTACCTCAAGCAGAAGTGCATAGAGACCATACGAGAATTTCCCTCTGACACGTGTTGAAGAAACCCAGACCAGAAGAAAATTCCCCCGTGATATTACCGGCATGACTAAAAAAATAAGCAATATAACTCAGGCCACTTGTAACAGATACCTTTCTCCATGCTTTCCTCGTTCGTGAAATTTCCATATGTTTGTTTATTTAGCTTTTAATGGAATTCTGCTGAGAAAATACGAAATCTGAGTTTGTAGCATGTTTTTTGGATCCTGTTTAATTCATTTTTTAAAAATCATACATAATCCTGTATTGCTGGAAATGCTGTTCGAATCTGACCATAACAGAAAATAACTATTTTTTCTCACCGTCTCTTGATTTTTTCTGAAGGGTCTGCGGAGCAAGGTCTGTTTGGAACGGATCCTTTTGGACCGTTAATTCACACGCATACCCCGTATTAGTAGCGTGTTATTTTAACAACTATTTACACTACGCATGGATTCTTTGGTAACTGGCAACGCAAATACGCAATATCCTATATCAGTACTGATTGCACCTCGGGTCATGTTCGAGTATTCCACACAGTACACAGTGTGACCTCCGAGTGTATTTTGTACTGCGAAGGTCAGACAATCAACACCTTCTGAAAAAAATTGTAATTAAATTGGTTTTCAACACACTCATCTTCCCACCATGTGAAGGGATGTACAATTTCACTGTTATAACAAAATATCGGAATTTTTTATATACACCCTCTAAACACTGTTTCTGTTGGTGTACGTGTAAACATCAACCATTTTGATACCACAAATACGCAAACCATTGAGCAATAAGTACGCCCTCTAGACCGAATGTGTGGATGAACTGAATGACAAGACCCAAAAATGGTGACATCGAAGATAAAGCAATTTGCTTATTAAAATTTAACAATATAGATGGCCGCAGATTTTGTCGTTGATTGTGCTTCAGTTAAAACGTTGAAAACAGGAACACTCCTGAAAATGAACCACTGAAGATCACTGAAATACCATATATTCAGAAATAAAGTTAAGGCATGATTCAACCTAATTCCAAAATCAGGTCGAAGTTATTTGCAGTTTTAAATGATCTTCACATACTAAATCTAATCAAATAATAAATAAATATTAGTTTTCATACGTACACAAACACACATATACCCATTTTTCAGCCGTTTTCTCTAAGCTAAACTAAACTGTATTTATCATATACCTCGTATTGCCCGGTCTCGTAACGCTATGGGAATCCCAATGCGCGAGCCGTGCAATAATTTTCCATACCACGCCCGGGCCCCGTTTTCCATATTTGGAAAACGCGTCTATTTCCTGGAACTACTTTCTGTTTACAAACAACGCACGTAATTTGAGTCTGCGCTTCGATAATGGCTGGCGATATAATTCAGTGGATGGGAAATATACCCGTCCGAAAGACCAGTTGGACTGATGGACTCATTATTACCCTGACGAAAGCCGGAATTCCACCACAACCAATCATAAAGATAACTGGTCACAAATACGTGTCAAGTTTACAGCACTCCAATACTCACAGTCAGTTGGCATCTATGTCGCTGGATACACCCAACAATACCGATGCCAGCTGACTGCGACGACTGTCTCCACGGAAGATCATCGGCGTATTTCTTAGTTGAGATACGCCCGAATCTGGAACTGTAAACCAAAGTGCTTCTTGTCAAGCAATTGTTTCTCGTTCACCGACTACAGTTTTTAACAACTGTGAAAACAATGTGTGTCTACCTGCGACTACAACATCAGCTGCAAGAAAACGCCCGTTGACGGACGGTCAGTAAATGACCAACTTTTTAGCTTGACTGTGTAGTGTTCATTCTTAAGAAAGAAACTATATAATGAGTTCGTATTTATTGCCGTTAAAATATTGTTATAAATTTACTTTCATTTGCTGTTTCATTAAAACGTGATTTGTGGATATATTCGTTTGTTTGGTGGCATTGTGTGAGAGTTGTGACGCGTTTGCGTCGTTTAGAATCGTATAAACCGCGCCAGTAAAAATGCCCGTATCGAAACCCAGATTAAATGGAATAGGTTTTCTTTTGGGCCAGACGAGCGAAAAATAACATAAGTAAAGACTTTTTTTCATATAAGGTATATGATAAAACCTTTATGGACTGGATACGGCTTTTGCTGCCCTATGTCGTACGGCTTACGCGCCCTCGCAAGTTCGGGCGCTTCCGCTGCACAACCTCGGGCCGCAAAAGCCGTATGCAGTCCATGAAGAATAGTAGCGCCTTCCGCCGCCAACTTGACTTGATTAGATTTGAGACAATAATATAGTGATAGAGGGATAACACCCCCCGCCAAAACGGGGGGGGGTCCGAGTCAGACCTGGTACCCATGCTGAAGTATAGCTTTTCAAAAAAAGCCTTTAAACACGAACTTGTTTTTTGTGAAATTATACCCCTTTTCTTAAAATAGACACCCTATATGCACACTAAAATCATACTGTTTCCAAGTTGAGGTAACATGAATTCATGAGATTCCTTTTTTCACACTTTATTACTATATTCTAAGTTACATCCGGTACACGCGTATACGCGTCAAATAACTAAATAACACCCCTTTTATGCGTTTTTTTTACTGCAGCTTGCGTACCATATTTTATTGAGAGACCCCCCCCCCCCGCGAGGATAACGATGTGAATAAACAACTTGAAATTATAAACTATATACAAAACCCCAACATCCAATACAGTTGCCGAGGTGATCACATAAAACGTAGCTGGCTCGCCGTTTATTAAATAAACGATGACAGAAATATTCAGAATAAGACATTTCCTTCGTTACGCAGTATAGCAGGAAATGGATGTTTACATGACCCCTAGAGGGCGCTTCCCGCATACCGCGATGGCTTGTGTATAATTTGACGGCGTTTCGTCAGAATACGTGTTGCCACGTAGCATTTAGCAGCTTTGTGTACCACACTCCTTTAATTCAGTTTTATTTACGATGTAGCTCATGAAGCAGAGTAAGTTTAAATAACAGCATTATTTGTTTATTGCAGTAAGCATACTCGTAGATGTACAATTCATTACATACATAGGGATGAAACCCACCACCCTCTCTCCGGTGCCTTCGAGCATGCGACGGGTGCAGAGGTTTTTAGTCCCGTCATTATTCGGGGTTTTCTGTTGTGTTTACAGGGATCGCAGTTTTTACTATTCTATGTACGATCATTACTCGTGTTCAATTTCCTCGTTTATGTATACGTAGTTACTACACAGATTTGTTAATAAATATTGTGATCAGTGTGCTCGTGGCAACGGTACTACACTCTGATTACCGGTGTGCGCGTGGTTTTATGGTGTGCCATGTGTTGTATAGTGTACACTCGCACATTGTAAGTACTGGAGAAATGCTCTTAAAAGTGGCAGACAAACGAACAAACAAACATAGTGAGGGCAACTAGTCAGCTGGCTAGTTACGTACATAGGGCATAAT